GTGGCTATCTATATATATATATATGGGGATGATCATAGTTTGAGCAATGATAATCGACACAAACGCTTCCCACACAAGTCTGACACTTCCATGACACAGATTTGGCTTCAAATGCTGGCCCTGAAAAACCAATCCATATAACTCTCTGTCTCTGTCTCTCTCAATTCTAATCTCTACCCATTTCTTTTCCTTTTTATTTGTTTTTGTTTTTGTCTTCACGTCCTTTTCTTTAATATTTCCTCTCGATACCATATTAGTTGTTTGTTTGCATTACTTCTCTCCACCATTGTCTTAACTTTTTCACTTTAGCTTGCCCCTCTCTCTCTCTCTCCTGTTGTTGGAAGTCTCCAAGGTCTGTTCTTTGCTCTTCATTCTTGTTCCCTTCTTCTTTCCTGGCTACCATTTCAAGTTATTCTTGGTTTTGGTATTTGTCTGATCATAGTTTTGTTCCAAAAACTTAGTCTCTGTGATCATCTTTGTATATGTAGTGATGGGTTTCATCAACTGATCTCCAGTTTTGTTTAGATAATGATTGAAAATTTTTTCTTGAAGTGAATTTTATCAGATCATTCAATTTTCAGTTAACTTCCAAAATTTAATTCATAAGTGTAATATTGCAGTCTTGTGCTTTAGTAGACAATGAGTTTTATTCAACAGAATTTAAGTGGATTTCAAACTTTGCAATCACTGGAAAAGTTGGAGAATAGTGCTAAACATGACTCTTGATAGGCCCCCATGGGATTTTTTTGGCGCGACCGATGCCTTTTTATTTTAATTTGCTTCTGTACATCTGACAGTGGATTAGTCTAGAGATTTCCTTTTGATTCTGCTTTGCAGGTCACTCTCAGATTTGAACTTTGTTTAAACTCTTTTTAGATGTGAAGTCAGAATGAAGTCTATCTGATACATATCCTTTTTGTTCTTTCTGGAATTCAGGTTATTTTGGGTTAGCACAAAGTATCTGTAGAAAAGATGGAGATAACTAATGTTACTGAATATGAGGCCATCGCAAAGGAGAAATTGCCCAAGATGGTTTATGACTACTATGCATCTGGTGCAGAGGACCAGTGGACTCTTAAGGAGAATCGAAATGCATTTTCAAGGATTTTGTAAGCTTTGTTCACTTACAAGTAAAACTACTAAGATGACTTTTGAGCTTAATTGTGCACTTGCATAAATGAGGATTATTTTAGTCTTAAAACAATGTACCGTACTTCAATTTTCTGGCAATCTTTACTTTGTAGGTTGAGTTTGATGGTTATCTTTTCATTTAATGATGCTCATTACTTTTCATGGAAAATAGGTTTCGCCCCCGCATTCTTATTGATGTCAGCAAGATTGACATGACCACCACCGTCTTGGGCTTCAAGATTTCAATGCCTATCATGATAGCTCCAACTGCCATGCAGAAAATGGCTCACCCTGAAGGCATGTGCCCCTGATTTAGAATCTTTTGTTTTATTATTAACCTTATGATGGAATTGTTTGAGCAATTAATGCTCACGCATCAGACTGAGCACATTCATCATTTGTTGCTGGATATGGTTAGACATACATGATATTCTGGCATCCAATGGTGGTGATTTCAGAAATAGAACTAATTTATAGAAGGATGATTTTTAGTTGCAAAGCAGTGAAAAAAAAATTAAACTTTCTCTGCACAAATGGAATCAATTATGTATGAAATTTGCTTGTAAATACCTATGATTGTTCATGCAGAAAGCATTTACCATCAGCTTTTCTGTAGAAATCAAACAATCGAATCAGATGAAGGATAATTGCTCTTAGTTTTAGGTTTTAGCTTTTAAAATAATATTGTTCGATGCCATGTATAGAGCTGGTAGTTGCATTTTCAAGGATTCACAGCTCTTTCTAATTCTCTAAAATGTTTAAGTGAAACACAACTTTAAGATTCATGTATATGTTTTATGCTTGTTTTAGTTCTTCTAGAGGAAGAATTGTGCCTGCTTTCTTCCCCATCTGATTTCTCTCTTCTTCGCTACTATTTCTATGCCAAAAGAACAAAATAGAAATGCATCTTTGTCTGAATGTTAAAGTGTGTTTCTTTATGCAGGAGAATACGCAACGGCCAGAGCAGCTTCAGCTGCAGGAACAATTATGGTTTGCTTCTCACTATTCCTTCCTCTTTGCTTTAAAACTGAATTTGTATCTTCTCGCATTTGCCACGCAGCAGAAGCCTGCTTTGCTCTTGCTCTGTCAAATCAATATTTCCTTAGTTTATTCATGTTTCTTTTTCCCCTCAGACACTATCCTCATGGGCTACTTCCAGTGTTGAGGAGGTCGCTTCAACAGGACCTGGCATTCGCTTTTTCCAACTCTATGTGAGTTTAAGAGATCATCTTTACACTGCCTACATTTTGTCTTGCTTTTGAGCATTGTGACATAATTGTCTGATTTTCAAACAGAACCTTAAGAAGATAGTTTATATAATCTATAACAGGCTTTACATTTTATGACTTCTCACATGGTGAGTAGAAGATCACTAGAGTTTTAAATTATTTTCAAAATATGCACGAAATGCATGATAATTCTCAGATAAATACTGCATCATCTTCCCCCATTTTCCTGAAATATTCTGTTCAAAGTAATTGCGAAATTATATCTTTGATTTCTTTCCTAGCTAAACCTCTTTGATCGATGAATGTTTTTCTCAGAATTTCCCAAAAACTTGTAAACAAATATGATTATTCTAATCCACATTGTGTGGCCTGTCTTCCCCTTTTCTTAAATGCACTTGTTTCCAAGAAACTGCACAAGTGATCTTTTACAGTGTTCTGTTACCTTTTTATAGCTTTGTGTGATCAATCATTACTGCTTATTGTTCAGGTATGCAAAGACAGGAATGTGGTTGCACAGCTTGTGAGAAGAGCTGAAAGGGCTGGTTTCAAGGCAATTGCCCTTACTGTGGATGCTCCAAGACTTGGCCGGAGGGAAGCTGATATCAAGAATAGGTGAGCTTCAAATGCAAGTATAACTTTTGAAATGGGGGAAAAGATAGAAAAAGAAGGAAAGAAAAGTTAGGAAGGATGTAGTTTTGGCTTCATGGTGTCACCATGAAATGATTATGACAACTGTGCAACTAGGTTGTGTATTGATTTTGTTCTCTGCGATATTAGGTATTCTGAAAAGAAAAAGAACAAGGTTACAAAGTATCAAAACAAAACTATTCTACTATTTTCAGAAAGCACTAATTTCTTGCATAACTCACTTGCAGATTTACTCTGCCACCATTCTTGACTTTGAAGAACTTTGAGGGTTTGGACCTTGGCAAAATGGATAAGGTAAGTGATAAATGTCTAATCAATCTCAACTTAAATTATCCATTTACTTTGCCTGTTTGTTTACCTAATGGTGGGATTTTCTTGCAGACCGATGACTCTGGACTAGCTTCATATGTTGCTGGCCAAATTGATCGGTCACTTAGCTGGAAAGTAAGATGCATCTTTTTCTTTACATTTCACATTTTTTTATTGTAACAAAGAAACCTTTTCACAATATTTCTTCCTGGCCAATAAAACAGGATGTAAAGTGGCTTCAGACAATCACATCATTACCAATTCTAGTGAAGGGTGTCCTTACCGCTGAGGATAGTAAGGAAGCTGACCCTAAAGAAACAATCAATGCAATCCAACTTCCTCTTTTCATTTTTCTCATGAAACCCCACTTTGCAATGTTCATAACGCAGCAAGGCTAGCTATACAAGCTGGAGCTGCTGGAATCATTGTGTCCAATCATGGAGCTCGCCAGCTTGATTATGTACCTGCAACAATTATGGCTTTGGAAGAGGTACATTTCCCCTTTTTGAATCATTAAGGTCATCAAATCAATGTGTTGTTTAGAATTTCTAGTTGAATTTCTGACAACTTCTCATGAAACTTTTGTGGCCAATGCTAATGATGTCTTATTCTGCATAACTTCTATCTCATTTGATTCTTTCCTAAAGTGTTTCTAACATATTAATTCTGTATGAGTACCCAAGCACTGCTCAAATGACTATATTTTTCATTTTGACTAACTTCCATTTTCTGATTTTGGTTATGTATTATATACAGTGAAAACATCAACCATAATTGGAATTTTTCCAAAACACATTGTACTATTTGACATTAATGATTTCACGAGCTAACTTACAGGTCGTTAAAGCTGCACAAGGCAGAGTTCCTGTTTTTCTTGATGGAGGGGTTCGGCGTGGAACAGATGTCTTCAAGGCGTTGGCTCTGGGAGCATCTGGAATATTTGTAAGTATTTACATTTGAGATATGAAAAACATTCATTCAAACAGCCTGCCCTTCCCTGTAACT